TTTAAATCTTCTGCTAAGCTTGGAGCTGTGTCTATGCGAACTATATAAATCGGATTTGACAACATTAGAATATGGAAACAGTTGGAGGAGGAAGAAATTACAAATCCATAATAGGAAACCTGACTCTTGTATAAGTGCCTTTCGAATAGCAATTATTGGTATAAGACCCACGACATAAATTTTAATAAAAGCGTAAATTGTATTAATAAAAAATTGAATAGTGGAAGTATCCTGGGAACACCTATCAGCTAAACAAGAGTTTGTCAAAGATGAACGCGTGAGTAATCGTCGATAAAAAAAAAAAAGAAAAAACCATTTTAATGCGTATACCTTGACTTTGAAGTGAAGAATATCCTATCTGAAAAATAACGATTGTCGCGTAGACGCAGCTCGCCGTCACGAACAGATATATCTTTTGGATCTTGCTTAATTCGGTTGAACCACAAGCAAAACCATAAATAGACCCTTGTGCAGTACTCATAACTAGAAAAGCAAAAACTACTAAAGGTCCGAAGCAGATAAAACTAAAATTGTTTCTACAAATTTTACTATAAAAGTTGTCCAGAAAATTAAGCTCCCGTGAATATTCGCGTTAACATTTTTTATGATCTGATATACGTACATGTAATACTGTAATACAGGTTTGCTTGATTGGTTAATTTTTACAGAGCTACTCGTGACAATTAACAAATCAAATTACATGTGGCGGATCATAATGAAATCCAGATCAAAAATGAAATTAAAATATAAAATCTCGAAAAATAAAATTTTTTGGGGTGCATTTTTTTAGGGTTAGGGGTTAGTTTTAAAGTAAAGTTATAATAAACAAGTATAAGTGGGTTTTAGAAGGTTAACAGGTTGAGTAGAAAATGTAGATTTCATTTTAAATTATGATCCGCGACAATAAATACACCAAAGAACTTAAAACATATATTTAGAAAATAGATAGGTATGCGTAAAACGGGATAAATGAATCAAACACATAAAAAATCTACTAAAACATTAGTTTACAAGAATCGACCAAGGTTGAATCTGATCTTTTACTATGTACTAAAGACCTTGTATCCATTCAAATTAAACAGTTAGTAATAAAATTTTATTTAGAGCTTACATAAAGTGGTTTTAGACGAAATCATTTTACTCTACATGTAATTTTACACAACCCAATAGACGCCAGTAAATTTTATTTTCTAAGCAAAGCCTGTCAGAAACGATATCTTTTTTTAGCTAACAAAAATTTTGCACATATGTTTAATTTAAAATGTTTTAATAACAGTAATTGATATAAATTAACTCAATTATTATAAGTATGTGAAACTTTTAAATAAATTTTTTAAAATACTACGCATAGTTTGATTTTTTTTTTTTTAAGTTGCTATGTATAGATTGATTTTTTTTAAGATACTATGCATAGATTGATTTTTTTTTTTTTTAAGATACTATGCATAGATTGATTTTTTTTTTTTTTAAGATACTATGCATAGATTGATTTTTTAAAGCCGCAACATTAGATATCGGTTCATAACCAATGCACATCTTATCGATGCAACTAGAACGATTAATTACATACAAGTACGTACTTCCCTTTGGTCACTCACATAAGCACTTAATACACTGTATCCGCGGTTATTACTGTATTATAGGTTTTAAAATTGTCGACAATTTATTTTAACGTAAAATCATTAAATTAATTTTCTTTCGGATCTATTACAACTCTTTAAATTGATAACAGATGTTAATATTGTTAGAATAGATGGGAACTTTTCTGGTGTATCTTAATGATTTCTATATTCTTCCTTTTTTCCCCTTTCTTTTGGAAGACGCAAAAACATTGTTTTTGACCCACCATATATTACATGATCACATATTGATCATGATCACGATTATTAATCTGTATAAGTTAGATTCGAATGTGAAATGAAAATGATGTAACGATTAATATTGTAAAAAAGGCAAAAATAATAATGTGAACCTTTTGCCCTTAAAAAAAAATATCGAAAAAGAGTTACATAGAGATCCATACAATTGTTAAATCACGACATTAAATACATACGTACGTACGTACAAGTCGATACTGTCTAAATGCATACGGTCGGGAAAGACAAAAAAAAATCAATTTTATGCATTTATACAGTATTAACCAATCAGATATCAGAAAATTAACTGTCTAAATGCATATTACTATTAAATTTTTTTAAAAAATTATGCATTTAGACAGTATGCAGCATGCATTTAGACAGTATCGACTGTATAAGTTAAACTATAATAAGAACGGTTATCATCTGATCTCATGAAATAAAATATAGAAATATATTTAAAAAGTATATTAATTCTTCACGCAAGATGACTTCCCTTTCTCTTCGTATCGGTAATAACGGTAAGCATTATTTATATTCGCTTCCTATATCACAAAACATCCATTATAAGTTCAAAGCCGAGAATGAGTTAATAAAGTAGTAAAATAGGAGCTTTTAATGGTTGAACGCGATATACTAGAATACTATATAATTTTTCTTTATCGAATTCGAGATGTGTGTGATGTAATTATTTAAAAGCGATGCACTGTAATTTTTTTTTTTAGGGTGGGTCAATAAAAATGGGTCAAGCGGTCAAAACCGATGTTTTTGCATAAGTTGGAACTAATAATAATGTGATTATAACCCGTATTTATACCTATTTTTATCATTTTTATAATTTATATATTTTTAACGATTTTATACATTTCATTTGCCGTTTTTAATGTTTTCGTTTTTATTTTGCTGTTTACACTCGTTTTTACTATCGTAAACTGTTGAAGTCGAAGAGGCGTAAGAGATAAATAATCGATCTCAGTGTATTAACGTGAAGCTCCTACAGTAACCGCTTCTTGCAATGTTCTCAAATGACCGAGTCATTTGCATTTTGAAATAAACTGAGTCATTTAAAAATTATGTAAATCATTTGAAAGTAAAATGCTCAAATATCATCAAATAATTTATTTTATACTTTATTATACCTAATAATAACTGATGTTATTAGGTATATATCTAATTTAATGAAAAAAATTTTGTCATTTGGCTATTTAAAAGTCGTTCGAGCATTTGATCATTTGGCCATTTAAAAGTCATTCGAGCACACTGTCTTCTGGTCTTTCAGATTACACTTTCGACAGTAGTAATTTCAAGTAAATAAAACTTTAACGAAATTTTAATGAGAGATGATTCAGATGCACAATGATCAATTCTCTTAAAGAGGACCAACCAATAATACAAATAAAAAAACAGTGAACAAATATTATAAACAACATGATATTACAGTATTAGCACAACAAACCAATGTTCCAGTTTATAATGTCAGTGGAACAAAATTGGTCCAGTTGCCTAATATTGCATGCAAAAGAAAGAATAGACGGGTAAAGATTCAATAAGTAATGAAGAGCAAACATGCAAGTTCCAAGAAGTAGTTATAGCAAATTATTTAAACTTTGTAAGGAATAAGATGAATTATTACTGCGTGTTGACTAGTGATGCCGTAGAATCGTCCCAATGAAGTTGAATGATAGTTGTCACATGCCGTAACTATAGTAAATAATAAGTAAAGTTACGGCTATAATGTCGTAACTTTACTATGTTACTTACTATAGTTACGGCAAGTTACAGCCATGTGACAACTATCATTCAACTTCATTGGGACGATTCTACGGCATCTCTAGTGTTGACACGCGACTTCCTGAGGTACTTAGGTCACTTTGATTATTTACATTTATTTATTTTTATTATTTATTTACGATTATTTCGAAATTATTAAGTTATAATTAATTACTGATTTTAGAAAATTTGTACTTGTTATGAATAAAGTTTTATGTTAAATATAGTTGTAGTAAAGTTTTTTTTTTCGTATTCACTAATCAGTTTTTTTTAAAATAACGTTAAAAACAATAACAATAATAAAATTATGTATTTTCCAAACATTATGGGTATCTTAACTCTTCCCTCGACTGGTTTGATATATTTTTGCTTGTCGTAGCTAATCAGTTTCTATTACAAAGAATAGAGACGATTGACGAAAACAGATTAATTTTTGCATTTTGTATTACTATTTATACTGTATCTTTTATAATTGATTATTTTGTTCATGCAAAATCTGTATACGTACAAAGCTTCGTTATTAGTTTCTAGTTTTATTATAAATAGTATTTATTATTGAAGTTTGTATAATTTTAGGTTTAGACACAATTTTATTGGCTTTATACCACGTGACTGCATTTGGCTTTAGATGACCCCCGAAAGTAAAAAAATTATTTAATCATACAGGAATATAGAATCGATTAAAGAAATTTTCGATAGGTGGTTGTCGCTCAAAGTTTAGAAAACAGAAACTACTGTTTTTTACTAAACATTGAGCAAAGATATCTCGACGAACACCTACGCATCTAAAATTGTTTTATTTCGATTCTATATGAATGTATAATTAAATAAAAAATTTTCTATCGATTTAGATAGTTGGTTGTCGACATATCCTCTCTCAAAGTTAAAAAAAATCTCATTCGAATTATTAAATGCGTCCAATCAGAATGCGACGGTTCAATTAGAATCTCATTTTAGCGACTAGCATTTACTAATTTCCTCCCCAGTTTTGATTCTGGCCAATCATGGTGCAAGATCAGGTGTAACGTGACAGTCTAAGAAATCACCTTTTGCGCACTAACAAAAAAAATTCCTTGCAAAATTTTAGCATAACGATAATTTCCATCCACTAATCCTAACCCCTAACCCTAACTGAGATGTCACATTTTAAGCAGAAGTGGCATTAAACAGAAGTGGCAAATTGGTGCGAATAATCCCAACCAATCAAAACTGGGGGATTAGTAAAATCAGGGTACTATAGTTGCAGTGTATCGATATCTATAGCCAATCAGAATTATTGACGATCACCCTATAAAACCAAATTTTCCTCATGTTATTTAAAATCCATGGAAATCTTGAATTTATCAATCTGTTCGACAAACTGCTATTAACAAAATGACATTAGAATTTTTGAATACGTCCGAGGCTATATTTCGTGTATTGAGAGATTCAAAAGTTTCATATTCCGAAAAGATTATTGTTGCCACCCGTGTGTGGAATTCGACTGATATATGCTTTCTAAATAAAGTGGGTTTCTTGTCAGAATGGGTTCGTTCAACTTTGATTAAATCAACTGGATTTTCCGACGTACGGTAATTATATTTAATTAATTTAACAATTTAATCGTAAATGTTTTATGATCGAATTACATATTGAACCCTTTTTTTTTCTTTAAGGCTTGGTGAAACTCCATATTTGAATTTAAGTTATTGGAAATTGTTTAAAGAAGCGTTGGAAAAGACTAGTGATTCTTCTACACCGTCACCCTTATACAAATTACCTTTGATTCCTATATTTTCCAGTGTAATTGACTATATATCATCAGTGGAGTCAATAAGTAATCATAGTAATGATGATTTGATTGAGCATTTGCTGGAAACTTTTGATGCCTGTTTTTACAAACTTACAACTGAAAAATCTACCATATTCAGACCGCCGATAGATCATTTAGTTACATTAGCTTTAAACGCTTGTAATCTCGTCATGACCATAAATACTTCTTATGACAATTATGAGATGAACGTTGAGTATAGCCAATCTAGAGTCATTTTTTTACGATTTGAGCTATTTTCAAAAATCATTTCATTTTTAGAGTGTAATCTGGTAAAAAGTTCAAATCCAAAAAAGGTAAATATAATATTGTTCTTGTTTAATTAATTATGAACCATTAATAATTTCTTTTCTATGAACAAGGCATACAATGTGCTTACCGGAAAAATGTTTAATAAACTTCTTCATGTTCGTTCCTTTGTATTTCATCTCAATTCATCAGGACAACAAGAAGACTGTGACTATGTCATATTTAGTAAAATCATCATGTCAATTGATACCATTTTTAGACTTGGACTTTTTCAACAAGATCATATAATAGAATATGCTACTCTACCTGAGTCAAATAAAGATGTATCTGATAAAAGAAATGACGGAAAAGGCTTAATTAATCATCATGACCAGTTATTTGATAAATGCCGTGAGATTATAAATTCTAACGATGATAAAATGCGATATCAACTAAGTGGTACGTCTATGCGTTATTTAGTTTCATAAATCTATTTATAGTTATTTCTTTAATAATATTGTCCCAAAATATTAGTTTTGGAAGTTATTCCTTATTGGTATGGATTCTTTGTTGAAGAACTACGAAAACACACAGAATATATTCTTGGTGCTGCCTCGGGTGAAGCAGTCAAAGCAGCCTTAGATAAAAAAAGATTATTAGAATTCAATTTTTTTTCGGAATTATGGACTTTGATTTCTGAAGCGTTGTCAAATTTAAAAGGTCCGAGCCACTTAAAGCTAGTGTTTTCGATCTACGTAGATTTATTGTCAAAAGTTTCTCAATATAATATATATCAAATTAAGAGTGACGAGGTATCTTCGCGTCAATTGGAATTTCTGCAAAAAGTTGCTGATTTTTTAATTTCTAAGGCAACTAGCTTACAAGGCAAGTTGCTTATAAAATGAGACCAGAATTTAATTTAATTCTTAAATTTTGAGTAATATTCTAAAGTTTGCTATATAGAAAATGAAATTAAAAACATTACTTTCCAAGGATTTGTCCTCTTACTGAAATTAGAGCACAGAGTTATGCAATCACATGTTAAATCATTGTGCAGTTTGATGCTTCAGGTATTCTTAAATATGGCTTGTTGCTGCTAATTAATGTTTCATTACTCATAAGTCATGATCTGCACTCAGCAACCATATACTGAATCTTCAAATTCATGTTTGACTCTGGGAAAAACTTTGTTGACCACATACTCTAAATCCCATGAAATGGATTTCTATGTCAAAAGCTTTTGGTCTGCTCTTAATGATATACCAGATGATACTAGTGTAATCTTGAAAAATCCATTGTTTTCTAGAGAGCATTTGGATGAGTATGAATTATATCCATCCTTTATGTTTAACATTAATCCATGCATTATTAACATTATCAATTTATCTTTCCAAGATTCGCGAATAAAATTACCAATTACATGACAATGACTCAAGCATGCGAACTCATCAATTTATTTACTACTGAATTATGTGAAATATATTTGCCTAATTTTCTTTGTCAGAAAACTGATAAGAAAACACAAAACAAAAGGAGGAAACTAGAAGACAAGGCTGCTACTCCTTTACCGAGAGCGAATCAACTCGAACCGCGGATCATCTTTATCGTTAGATTTTTGCGGGCCTTGAGAATCACATCAGTTTCTAGGGATGGGATGGAAAAAGCATTCCAATCACTATTTGATTTGTTCGTTTTTCCTATACTATCTACCAAACTTAATGGCAGGAATGAATATAATAGGGATATTATGATATATGCCGCACTTAGCTTACATCATTGCTTGGTAGATATATCACCTTTATATTGGGAAAAAGCAGTTACACCGGAATTTATTTCAGTTCTGGACAAAATTTCATCAATTGACCCAAAAGTGAATCTTTTTTTGGTGAGATCTTATAATAATTGAAATATCCAATAATTTATTACCATTTAATACTGAAAATGTTATAACTTGAATTAGAATAAAGTTCGACTTCAATATGTGTACCGTTCAATGCCCACAATTAACCTTCAACATACAACAAGTAACGAACCAAAAAATGATGCTAATATAATTCATAAATATATATCTACTATTCTTTCTACTCTCGACTATCCTAAAAATGCTGAAATCTCGTGGACAGGGTATTTGGTTGATATGACTAAAGAAAACTTTGCAATCTCAAATTCTATGCTTATTATTAGAGAGTGGTTGGATGTTGTAGTGTGAGTGTTAGCAAAATCACATTTATACATTACTAATATTTGAACAATTTGTTAATGTTATATTCTCACGTTTTCTTCAGTAATAATTGCCAAAAACAAGAGCTTGAATCAATAATGAGGTTTATAGTCAAAGGATTTGTTACATATTCTATTGGCATAAACAATGAAGAAATATCTATGGAAAGTATATTCATTCAGATTTTGCATTCTGCGGAATTTTTTGAGTTAAAATCTTTGAGAGGTATTTATTTGATTATTTAGCGTTAGTTTACTGATAGTTTTTATATAATTTATATACATAAATTTATAGAAATTTTTTTTATTTCAGATATTTTTCTAAAAGTTTATTTAGAAGAATTATCATCAGTTTTCAAAAAAGTATGTGATGAAAATATGATAGAATCTGACGATGATAGCAAAGAAATAGACATGATTATTGAAATTGCATCAAAGTGGCATCAACAGGCCTCACCAGTAATACTGGATTCTATATTTCCCTGTTTTTCATCATCACCATCAGACAAACAGTCATGGTCCAATAATTTTTTAACGGATGAAAGCATTCAAAAAATACATCGTCTTGTTACACTACTCCACTTATTTCCCTCAGAATATTTTGATAGATGGGAAGTTAATTGTCTATCTGCATTAATATTGCTCGTAGATAAAGTGATACTTACGTCACAAAGTCAACAAAGTAATATAAATTTTTTGAAAAGTGCTATTCTTTGTAGAGGCTTAATACGTAAATTTTTTCTTGCAACAACTAAACAAGATGATTTACTGGTATGGTAATAACATGCTTTCATAGTAAACAATATTATATTGCGTTATATTTATCTCAAGGATTATAAACTTTGCAGTGGAAAAATCAATCATATATTATGTGGTGGATATCATCTATATATACCTATAAACATCACATAAAAACAATCAGTGAATCTCAACAAGAAGGTATAGATATTGTACACGAGCAATTTATCAATTTGGTGCAGATAACCAATGAAACTATAATAATTATGTCAAGGTATGCTTTACATAAGTAGTGTCTTGTAAATAATATGATACTGATAAATGTTGTTCTTTATAATATGATAGTCACATGTTTTCTAGATATCGAGAAAATGAAAATTTTAAAATCGTTGATTACTTGAACATTATTATTTTCGCATATTCTGATCACTTGGATCATTCCTTTGACCAAAAATATCTGGTCTTAATGACAAATGGCATTTGGAAATTTGTTTCTGACTTTTTAAAACTTGGGATAGAATTTTTTGAATCTCGCAGGTGATTATTTTTGATAATGCTTGAAGTTCTAATATATTTTAACATACTAATTTCATATTTGCAGATCTATCCATGAAGCGCGTGACCAAGGAATACATGAGGCATTTGGGACACTACAACAAAAAGTTGAATTAAAATTCATTACATTTTATTTAGATGAATCATTGCAACAGCTTCAAAAAGCCGATAATGCTATGGGAATTCAAGTTGTCTTAGGACAAATCACTTATTTAGAAGAAGTACTAAAAGCATATTTGATGTCGTTAAAATATTATAATTTGAACTCTATTCAACTACAAAATGCGAATGCCCAAGGTTTGTGTAATACTATATTAATATGATAAATTTTTTTCCATAAATTAATTATAAATGAACTAATTATCATCTTAATCGTTTACATAATTTATACAGCATCTATTATAATTTCATTGTTACAAAAGTTTTTTTCCATTATAATTGCATTATTACGTGCAGCATCAATCGACACCGTGTGCCAAGACAAATTACTTTATGACCAAGAAACGATGAAAAAATGCGAGACAATCACGTTAATCGTAATGGATTTTATTCCAATTATCGAATCTAAAATAAGTTTGCAAACATTTCATAAATTTATATCATTTATATGGGACATAATGGCTATTTTATGTGATAAAGGTAAGAATACGAATATCAAATAAGAATCTTAAAGCACTGGTGATAATTGCTTGTAATGCAAATTAACGTTATTCGAGTTTAAACAATTATATTATAATAGGAATGCAAGGCCAATTTTCGAACGAATTGGATAGTGGTTTTGGCATGTTCATATCAAAGTTATCAATTGAAAAATATGAAGAATTTTCAAATAATATTATTAATAGATTAGAAGAATTTCCTTTCTCCATGCAAAAAATTTGTACGGATAAAGATTTGAAGTTTCTCATACATTTAGTTGATATATTTCTCCGTAGCTCCACACATGGTGAGTTTGAATAAATGTTATATACGCGTTTATCTATTTAATTTTTAACTGATATCATTTTAATTATCAAAATAGAGCAGCTATGTTGCTTACAAAGAAAACTTCCCAATATACTAGTTAGATTATGCAATTTAGGAGAGATTATTGACCAACCACAAAATGCAATATACATTTTAAACATTTTGTCATTCTTAGTTTCTCGCAGGGTAATTTATGATATAATTTAATGTAATGAATAGTATTTTATGATTTTGTAACATAATTGACAATTATATACCATAAATGCAGGTATTTTCGTTTCGGTCAATTGATATTGGTTTAATACTGTCAACCGTAATTTCATTAACATCTTCAAAGACAAACTTCGAATCAGACGAAAAAGATTATCAAAATCTCTTTGAAGAAGTATGTCACTTATTATTCAAAATCTTAATACATTGCCGAGAAATCCTTTACTCAACACTTCCAGCCTATATCGTTATCGTACAATCGATGTTTCATTGTTTCAAATCTCTTGAGAGTAAAAAACAAAAAAGTGAATCACAAAGTCGTCGATATGTAACGATATGGGACATACGTTTAAAGAATCCATTACCCATATCAAGTGCA